AATAATGGGGAAGCCCGAGCCGTGGCACTAGACATCTCCAAAGCATTTGATAGGGTTTGGCATGCCGGCCTTCTGCGCAAGCTCCAGGGTTATGGCATTACGGGTCGATTATATAACCTAATACAATCATTCCTGTCAAACCGTGAATTGAAGGTCGTTCTCAACGGATTCTCCTCCAGTTCCTATCCCATGAACGCAGGTGTCTCTCAAGGCTCCATCCTAGGCCCCACTGTATTCCTTATCTTCCTTCGTCACCAAGATGTTGTGGGCAAGTAATTGGTTAAGAAATAAAACAAGAAGTTGCAGATAAATAGAGTATTGAACAGTAAATACAACGACTTGGGAGTATGTATCGGTTGACCAGCGTTCAGTCTATATTACCGTTATATTTATTGCATAAAATATACAATTATGGCACATGGCCTGGTGGGGAAGCTGTTGAGGCTAATCTTCACTGACTATCCTATACCTAGCTAATCCGATTCACGACCCATTCGCTCATAAACAAACAAAATATCAAACAAAGCAAAAATAAACATAACTGATTTTAGTAGGACCCGTTCAACCCTGAGAAACTCGCTGTATTCTGCCCTACGACAGAATCAAGAAACTCTCTCGATAAGGTAGACGGAAAGGAGAAAATATAGACGGACATGAGAGTCAATAAAGCTGACCCAGTCGAGATGAAAGGGGACAAAAACAAACTGGGCAGGTTGGGAATCTCAACTTGGATCATAACCAAAGATTATAACCAAAGGCACAACACTTACTGACATTAACTAGGTACACAAGGCCTGTCTAACCTAACCAAAGGGAGGGCTTCACATGAAACCACCCGGATGTGACGTAGGTTGGCCTAAAAGAGAAAATCAACGCTAGCCTCGTTCACACGAACCAAGCTCGCCTCAGTCATCTACCTTTCCCTGTCAAATGCGAGCGTTTTCTATCAGTTCTAATCTTCATCTTGAGCTGATGCTCAAAGAATCGGATCAGATCCTGATGAGAAAGACGGTTACCTCGCAAGACTTCCTCCTGTCGCGTCGTCCAAATCACCATTCGGGCCGTGGCCAGTAGCGATAGAAACACCATTTGTTTCTCCCCAAAATACGGGTACGAAACATTGTCATACGCGTATCAATTTAGGATCGATATGAGCCGTCAACTCGCTGACATGGTCCCATAGGGGGCGGTCCCGAGGACAATGGTAGAAGGCGTGCGAAGCCGTTAAACTTCTAGGCCAAGGTCACATCGTTCACAGTCTGGCAAATCCGCCAAGCCCCATATGAAGGCCTTGTCATTGAGAGATAGCTTATTCCGAACCAATCGCCAGGTAAGCGAAACCTCAGGGTTATTGAGATAATTCGCCGCTGGCGCCCAGGACCAAAAAGAGCGAAACTCCTCCTCCGACAAGTCAAGCCGCTCACGTGGTGGATCCTTGCCCCCCCCCCTCCACTAGTTGACGATAGAAGACCTTCCTAGGCCGAGAAAGGTCATTGAACCGAGGAATGACCGCCAAGGCATGCCGACATTCGCGAAGGAAATCAGATTGATCTCGGGGTTTATGACGGCGCTCAACCCGCGAGATGGGAGGTCTGATAGTAAGGAAAGGGAAGGTGACCCTTACAATCCCCGCCATAATCGAATCTCCTGGTAATGCGCAGCGTAGGAAAGTCAACCTCGAGGCGAGTTTGTGGCTCGCCAAGTGAGACATTCCCAGCCCCCTATGACACGGACGTTGTGCACAGACTTCTCTGCCGACCTTATGACTGCGTCCCCTCCATAAAATGGAGGATAGCAATCGCTCGAGCGGCTTCCTATGGTTGTGACGACCATAGGAAGAAAGGTAGTACGGTCAATCGATAAAGGGCAGGAGGGAAAACGTAAGTGACACACACCTCCGCCCTGCCCTTTACGGACATCCTCCGTCGACGCCTGACCGGCCGCGTCGACCTTTGCTCGTATTTCAGACCAATTTTTCTCCAGCTGGAGGTCGGGTCCAAACCACACTCCAAGAATGCGGACAAGACCGTCCGTCTAACCGAAGGGCCCCGGAAGATCAACCCCCTTCCGCTAGCCGAACGACTTGTGGTTAATCTTGGCCCCTGTCACCTTTTCGTAGCGATCAAGCGCCTTCAGTACCGCCTCAATGTCGCTGCGGGACAACACGAAAGTAGATACGTCATCGGCGTACGCGAAAACCCTGGCTCGGGCCCCTCCAGGACCGGCGATTTCGCGTAAGGTTGGACTGCACGCCCTGTCCCTCAGCCGGCGAAGGAGAGGCTCCAACGCCAAAGCATAAAGTAGGAGCGACAGTGGACAACCCTGACAGACCGACCTAGACAGTGCAAAAGCGCATGACAGCTTCCCATTCACCTGTACCACAGCACTGGGGGAGCGATACTGCAGGCTAATCCAGCGGCAGAATTCGGATTTGAATCCGGCGGCCTGCAGGACAGTAGCAAGGTAGCGATGGTTAACCCTATCAAATGCCTTGGACTGATGCAAATTGATCAGCGCCACCTTATCGTCGTCTTTTCCACCCTCTATGATCGTGCGGATCAGATGCAGGTTGCTCTGAATTGTTCGGTCCTGCACAGCAAAAGTCTGCTCTGGACCCAACAGTGACTCGGCAACTGACTGCAAACGCTCCTGCAGGATTTTGGCCAAAATCTTTAACTCTGTGTTTAGCAGAGTTTTGGGCCTGTAATCCTCTAGTTCCTCCCCCAACACCCTTGCCTTTTGTCAACAGCGTGATCACACCCCTGGAGAACCGGTCGGGGAGAGACCCCTACCGGAACCAGTTGTTGAACATCAGTCAAAATCGGGACAAAGATGTGCGACAGTACAATTCATAGGGCAAACCATCCAGACCGGACGACTTGCCTCTGCTGACCTTCTTCAATGCCGCGTAGACCTCGCCGTCCGTGATCTCTTTCTCGCACCTAGCCGCTTCAGTTGGCGAAAGAATCTTTTCGGCTGGACTCAATATTTATTATGTACAAGTACATAATTCTGGCACAAGGCCAAAAATGGGGAGGGGTTGAGGCTGGTTCACACTATCTATCCTATACCTAGCTAATCCGATTCACGACCCATTCACTCATTACCATTTACCCATTCACCATAAGAACTCGTTCATCACCAAATAATCCTCCATGCACCATAATACCACTTCCTCTCAAGGGGGACCTACAAAACGCGCCCCATACCATAAAAATTTAATGATGATAAATATCTATCTATCTATCTATACTTCTCATGTTGTCTGTCTGTGTGTCTGTCGTGGGCGTTGTTACCTCGCCCAGGCCGCATTTCTCACGCGATTTCGATGCGGTTTTTACTACACGTTTGCAAATGGTTGCCGTAAGGACATGACGGAGCCCGATTTTTGAGTTCGGCTTCCGAAAAAATCGATAATCGAAAAAATATGCTTACAGAAGGAATGATCGCATTTCAACCAAATTTGACACCCTCTTAGAGTCTACCATTAGAAATGTGCAGAAGTTTCATGATCACGGACCCCTAAACAGCGCGGAAATCCGATAAAACCCCCAAACCGATACACCCAGATTTCGCCTGAACCGCATGTCGGTTTTTAGCGAAAACCGACCGGACTTATGAGGAGGCTAATGGGAGTCACCATATGAAGTTTCAACAGTGAGCGCCCCCCAAGCAGAGTGCAAATCGACAATCGGTCAACCCTTAAAAATGTTTTCCGGTTGGGTATTTCCTAAATGCAGATTAACTTAAGGTCACGCTATGCGCAGGAAGAAACACGTCAGTGCGTGCAATGGAGTGGAAGAAAACATTTGACCTCAAATTCTGGAATGGGTGCAAGGCCATTGAAATTCGGCTTTTGTATCCCTGCTACCTGGTCTGACTTTAAGCCACAAATGACATATCCGACTTTGTCAACACTTTTGCTTTAATCGTCGCATTTTACCAAAATAAGCACTTCCTTTATTCGCGTCTTTACTGAAAAAAAAACCCGCATACGTGCTAAGAGAAAATGATTCTGCCCTCAGCAGTTCATTTTCCAATTCTTTAAACCTTTTCCCCTCGCTAAGGCCGCATCCAAGACCTGACGAGGAGTTTTTGCGCTAAAACAGCAGGGTTTCCTCCCAATCCATTTCAAAGCGAATGCCGGCAAACGGTTAGCGGCTTTTCGTTATCGCACAGACCAAACGAGCAAACACTTCATTGCAGCTTCTTGCATTCTCATCGCCGGCGTCACGTGCGTTAGAGCCAAGCTGCATATGCAGCAGGCAGCTTGACCCCGTTTACCGCCAAGACTTGCGCTTGCCAAATCATGCGCGCGTGCGTGAATGCGTGCTAGCATCTTCCATTTTGCGTGAGCTCATTTATTGGTCTAATTCATGGCCATTGTCCAGGCTACACCAATCAATGACAAGTCACCATCCCTTTAAATACCTTCAGCGTGGCTGCATCTGCACTCACGTCTTGATTTGATCGCCATTAACGCATCTGTCCTTGGATTAATTGACAGCTTCCAGTTACCGCAAGTTACCAATTTGCTTAAAGTTTGCATTACTCATTTTATCTCAGCGTGCTGACTCTACTGCGCTGCCCAGTCCATCTTAGCGTTCCATACCTATTTCTACCTTTTGGTAGTTCAGTTTTGCTATTAGTTAACTGCAGTCGCGGCCCAGTACACCTCAGTGTTTCCCTACTTTTTAACCTTCAACGCTTCAAAATTTTGGTTGCGTAATCTCTTCCTACTGCGACGTTTTCGTGCTGCCAGAAAGCACGGCCCATAGCTAGGAGAATCATTTTCCATACCGCTCCACTTCATTTTTAGTTTTCGTATACAACGAGGTTGCACCGCTTCAGCTTCGGCATCAACTTCTATTCGCATTCTTACACAGCATTTCTACAACCCTTCAAATGGCTCCTACACGACGAACATCCGCACGTCACCAACTGAAGACCCCTAAGACCGTTAACGTTCACATGCAGAACAGGCGACTGCGGAGGAGCACATGACTCCGATTTCAGATGATCACATAGCGTCTACTTCAACCTCTGCTTTGCACTCTTCTGTGTGCCTTGGCGATGACCAACCCGGCAGCTCTGCAAAGCGAGCCAAAATACCATGGCGAGGCAACCTTCGCAGGCGTTCTAAAAGAGCCTCTGCGGTAAAGTGAAAGCGGGAGGAGTATACTGAGGTAGAGGCATCTTTGAGGCTTTCCAGTCAATCTCAACAGAAGCAGGATATTTTGTCACATGAAACGCTTGGTGAGCGTAACTACCGTTTGAACTGAAATCAGTTTACACATGTTCGTTGAAAAGTAAGAGGCAACTACCTAAACGCTTGCAAGACAACAAAAAAGCGGCTTCATCACAAGCGCTTTTGCAGTCTCGACAGAGCCCGCATCGAAAAGCTACTCGCAATGCAGCCGACGGCGCTGCAACTTCCATTCGACGGTACCAGGAGACCACGGCTGAGAAAACCGCTCGTAACGCAGCGAAAGCTGCGGCAACGTCCATTCGACGGTCCCAGGAATCCAGCACGCCATGCAGCCGACGCCACTGCAACTTCTGCTGCAAGGGCGTCGGAAAGTTCAAAAGCGCACAAGGCGGTAACGCGATGCAATTTCAACTTCCGCTGCTAGAGATGTAGAAGGACCTACTGAAAGTCTTGAAAGGTTGAAGACTGTTAACCAGCGCCGCCATGCACAGCGAGGGCTCTGTAGCCCACCAAACAGTTTTGGTTTAAACTGGCGTTCAACTATGAACCAGTTTTGAGGCTTTCTGGTCGCAAAGACCTCCAAATAGGATCCATGTCAGTTGTCTGTGGGCATTGCCATGCCAAAAAAATGGCCTGGAGATTCTGCAGGTTTGTGTTGTTCAGACGGTAAGGTACAGTTGCCACCTTTTCAAGAGCTACCTGCTCCGTTGAAAGCTCTGTTAGAGGGTTCCAGTCCAGACTCCAAACATTTCCTCGCAAAAACCAGACGGTACAATTGTGCCTTCCAGATGACCTCTTTTGGTGGTAATGCCTTCCGTGAAGTCGGTTGGAATCCCACCTTCAAGGTTCAAGGTCAGGTTTACCACCGGATTGGATCTCTTTTGCCAGAAACTGCCACTGATTCGGCCATTCTACAAATATACTACAATCAACGGGCAGATACCCGCATGGGCATTATTCCCGAGAACGATACAGGCCAGGACAATCATCCTCGCAGGGATATCATAATGAGCCTCCAACAAATGCTCCACGAGACAAAGAGCTATGTCCGCAGTTTTAAGTATGCTCTCGAAAATTACACTTCTTCTGATTTCATTATTGTAATTGATGCTGGCAAACGGCCTCAGGGAGAGCACGAACGTCGTTACAATGCTCCCGCAAGTAACGAAGTTTCTGTCATTGTCAGGCGGTGATCGGCACAACAGACGTGACATTGTTATCGAATCGCGCGGCAGTGGGCTTGCGAAGAATCAGTGAAACCCACCGGTCCTACGATGCACTGCAATACCCACTTCTCTTCCCTTACGGAGAAGATGGGTACCACTTTGGCATTCTGCAAAATGGGTCCACCTTAAAAACGGTGTCATGCAGGGCTTTCTACGCCTACCTATACATGGTACATGAGGGTGCATTTAATGATCTTCATTGAAGCCGGCAACTTTTCCATAAATTCATTGTAGACATGGCTGCTAAGATGGAATCCGAATGACTCTGTTACATCAGATTGAATCAGACCAAGTGGCGCTGAGACTCTTACATTCACCTCCGTGATGCTTTACGAAATGACGCTGATCCACGCAATATAGGCAAGATTTGCATACTACCTGCAACGTTCACACGCAGTCCACGATACATGCACGCGAAGACGCAAGACGCGATGACATACGTTCGTAAGTACGGCCGACCAGACCTATTCATAACTTTCTCGTGTAACCCAAAATGGTATGCAATTGCTAAAGAACTTATGCCAGGGCAATCGTCCTATGACCGTCCAAACTTCATTGCGCGCGTTTACCATCTGAAGTTGGGAAAGTTAATGGATGTGATTACAAAAGGCCAGATTTTGGGGGCTGTTTGTTGTCGCATGCACACTACTGAGTGGCACAAAAGCGGCCTGCGTCACGCACATATACTAATTTGGCTGTGCGACATGATTGAGGCCACAGAAATCGATCATCTTATTTCTGCTGAAATTCCTGATCCGTCGGCTGACCCTGAATTGTACGAAATAGTGACAACCAACATAATTCATGAGCCCTGCGGGCCGCATTACAATTATACCAGCTGTCACAACACCGACGGCAAATGCACCCGGCATACCCACGAGATTTGTAAAAAAAACCGATTAACTCACAATTGATACGGATTTTGGGGGTTTTAAGTTGAATGTCTCGCTTGCACTAAGCTTTTCGCCTCATTTTGGACTCTGTGCAGTTGACTTCGCGTTGTTAAACACTTTTGAGCACTTTTTATTTGAACTTAAAATCTGATCAATGTATGGTTTCGAAAGTACCGGGTTAACAAAACAAGACCAACAACAACCCCGCCCAAGTAGTATGACCAGTCTCAATATTTCAGGAAACTGGGTTGGGTGTGAAAAATTATTTGTTGTTAACATTGTTTTTTCATTCGTTTTTTCCAGTTACGCGTCCTTTTTTGAAGCTGATCGTTTTGTGTTCATTTTGTTTAGTTCTTTTTTCGTAACAGATTTAATGTTTAGTATAGAAATTCGCAGTGTGAGATAGGCAAGAAGTAAGGCACGTAGCAACATCAGCACGGCAAAGGGCACTGCTTTAAAGAAAAGGAAGGGAAAAATATTTTAAGTCAAGTGATAGCGATTGCTGTATGAATCGTACGATTTTTGAATCAAGTACGGGCAACGCCGGGCCATGCTGCTAGTTATACATAAAATTCTAATAATGAGGAATGAGAGGGGGGGGAGATGAACCCAATAATAAATTAAATATCAAAACAAAATAAACTAAACATAACTAATGTTAGTAGGGCCCGTCCAAACCTCAAAAAGGAGAGGCCGCTGTATTCTGTCCATGGGACAAAATCAAGAAGCTCTCTCACTAAGGGAGTGGGAAAAGGATAAAAAATCATACTGACATGGGAAAATATAAAGCTGACCCAGTCGAGTTAAAAGGGGCCAAAAACAAACTGGGGAGGTTAGGAATCTCTACCTGGATCATAACCAAAGATGTGGCCAGGGACATGCCGGGAACAACACTTACTCACATTAACTAGGTACACAAAAGCTTGTCTAACCTAACTGAGGGCTCCACAGTAAACCACCCCGATGTGACGTAGGCTTGACCTAAAAGAGAAAATCAAGGCTAGCCCCGTTCAAACGAACCAAGCTCGCTTCAGTCACTCACCTTTTGCTGAAGACTGTCGAATGCAATCGTTTTCTATCAGTTCTGATCTTCATCTTGAGCTGATGCTCAAATAATCGGATCAGATCCTGATGAGAAAGACGGTTGGTTGCCTCGCAAGACTTCCTCCTCTCGCGTCGTCCCTAACACCATCCGTTTCACCCCGGTATACGGGGGCGACACATTGTCACACGCGTATGCGCGATCAATGGGCACAAGCTTTTCGGGAGCGAGACGAGGCGTCAGCTACCCGACATGGTCCCATAAGAGGCGGACTCGGGGGAAATGGTAGAAAGCGTTCGAAGCCGTTTCTTCTAAACCAAGGCCACACCGTTCACAGTCTGGCAAATCCGCCGACCTTCTTCAATGCTGCGTAGACCTCGCCGTCCATGATCTCTCCCTCGCAACTAGCCGCTTCAGTCGGCGAAAGAATCTTTTCGGTTGTAATCTGTAGTCTGTTGACTTACAGATACTTATAAGTAGTTAGTACTTACAGTGTAGTCACTCATGGGGGTGACAGGTTATTCCATTACATCACCAAGAATTTTCTTTTGTTTTCAATTTTAAATAAAAATGTGATAGTGTTGTTAGTTAAATATTTTGGTAAATTTGATTTTTAAACCCCAACGCTAAATATCTATTAAAAATCGTCATATTTCCTTGTAATTGTACATGCCGAACTTGAATTATAACAACAAAATGTTGATAAAAACCACCGTTTTGGAGTTATCGGCAATAAAATTTCGGATTCATTCGCGTTCATTCGTCCGCCATTACAGGCTTGTTTAGATACATTCACTGCGGAAGCGTAATTAACGGCCTGTTTACTGCTTTTTTTACTGATCTTACTCGTCTAAATTACTGCGCACTGTCGGAAAGCAATGAGAAGTGGACAAGTGTTTGTCTATTTTTAAAGGAAAACCCTTTTTTTCTGTGTAGAAAAGCGGACAAAGTAAAAAAAAAGTTATGGTTAGGATTAAGGTTAGGGTTGTTTATTTTATTATTTAATTTGTTTATTTTAATTCAAAAAGAAATCTTTATCATATAAAAACAACAGTTGGAGAAAAAACAACAACACTTGTCATTGCTTTTCGACACAACTGCGTAGCAATTTAGACGAGTAAGATTAAAAAGCGCAAAAAAGCAAATTTACCAATATTTTAAAAGTAAATTTGAATTTGTGCCTTTTTGGAAATGGTATTATTAAGTAAATCTATTTTTACGGATCATAAATTTGAAAGCTTATTACAATCTGCGACACAGGTTATTTTAAAAATATGTTTTGAATATGTACAAAATGTATTAAAAACATTCTTTCCAAAGCATGGTTAGTTTCGTGTTTTAAGAGTTGTTTCCCCTGACAGACCTCAGAATTTTTTTGTTTTCCATTTCTTCACGTATTAAATTCTCTGACTTACTGACCATCATCGTTGTATTTTCAAAATTTTTAATTTTCTTTTTTACATGCTATTTCACTAAATATTTTAATTTAATTTTTTGGTGAATTTGCAGATAATGCTCCAGTGACATATTTTAAAAAAAGGTATCATTTCTGATGTAAAAAAAGTCTGATTATTCCAAAAAATAGCATTTATTTTAAAAATAGGGGGAAATTTATCGTTTCGGTTTACGAGATATTGACAATTTTTAATCAGGCTTTTTTTTTCTAACACCAGGAATGATACTTTTTTTTTTTTCTTAAATTGTGACTGGGTCATTAATCGATGCCGTAAAACTTTCGCGCAGTAATCGAGAGTAACCGGGACACAACTAAAATTGCCAATATCTCCTTAACGGTAAATTTCCCCCCAATTTTTAATGTCGGTTTTTTTGTTGGAATAATCAGGCTGTTACACCAGGAATGATATTATTTTTGTTTAAATTTGTCACTGCAAATTTAACAATTTTAAAAAAAAATAATTTATAATTTATTGTTCTCCTTTCAGTGAGAAACATACTGCAATTTAATTTAATTTAATTATTTTCTTTTTTAGTTTCAATTTTAAAGACGCAAACAATGCAGTCTTTGGACATATCTTCGTTAAAGAAAGTACTAAAAAAAGCCAATAAAATATTTAGACTTTTGAAAGTATTTAATTTTTAAAAAATACAGTAGTTAAAAGCTGGTTCACTCCAAAATTCAAAAATATTTTCACTTTTGCCCTTCCGTCGGATAACTTACAAGATTTTTAAATGGAAAATTTAACTTTTGTTTACATATTTCTAAAAAAAGGTGGATAATCGATTATTGGCAATTTTGCTGACTCAAAAAAAGAAAAAAGATTTTTACTAAAATTTTGCACGTGCTAGGAAGGATTAAAAAAATGTAAAAATATTTTGGTCTTTCCTATTAATAAACATAGACGATAAGAAATTGTTTTCATCACGTTCGAGACCTTTTTCATCAGGATTATGCAGAATGGAGTTATAATTTTTTATGAAAAAAAAAAATTAATTGCACCCGATGAAGTCTTTTTTTAAAAATTATACTAACTAAATTTAAGAAAATGTGTGATTGCTACAAACAATAGTGGAAATTGAAAGAGTTATTGAATTGATAATGTTAATAAGTTAATTCAATGCTTTCATTTATTTTTTCTTTTGCTTTTAATAATTGAATAAAATAATCCATGCATGCGAGAAGTACTTGATATGGCAACATAACTGGAATACGTAAAAAACACCACCTAGTGACGAAACTGAAAGAAAAAAAAATCAAGATTCTTTGTTTCGTTTATTTTCGTAAAATAAAAAAGGCAAAAGAAGGAAAATGAAAAAGATGAAAAAAAAATCCGCTTCAAGTTAATTAAAAAAAATGTGAAAAAAAGTATTTTTTTTATCAGTGTAACTGTAACAATCACATTTTTCCTAAAAGTATTTTCTTAAAAAATTTGACAGATAAATTATTGAGCAATGAGAAAAACTCAATAAGTAAACAAGTAAATAAATAAAATTAATTTAACTGACTGATGAGAAGATTTTGTAAATATTTTGACATGAACGAAACCTTGCGTTGTTTCTAATTCAGGTTCCGACGTGACCAATCGGCGGCAACGGTTGGAAAGCGCGCATGTGTGCTTCTCTTTTGTGAGGATAAAATTTGAATGTTCGCATTCTCACGCCTCTATTGTGAACATCATGTCTCGACGAAGACCTCGTAGTGATTCTTTTAGCGATGATGAAGACAGTAAGAACAATTTTACTTTGAGAGTAGACTATTCTCTTTCTTTTATGTATTTTTATTTTTCATGCCTTTTTCTGTTTTACTGCGTCATAAGGTTTTGGTAGTTGTAAAGCAAATTTTATATATATATATATATATATATATATTTAACCAGAAAAGTCCTTTCTCTGAAAGCAATCACAAGAAGAGTGCTAACGTTTGCTTTTCCTCGTTGCTAAAAAAAAAAAAAAAAAAAATTTTTTCCTCATGATCATGGCTAACGTTTATCCATCATAGCGTATTCTTTTCCGTTTTTTTTTCTATTTCCTTACCACAAAAATTATAAAAGTTTCTTTCTCTAATTGGGTAATAATCTCGTTTTTTTTTTTTTTTTTTTTTTTTGTTTGTTTAAAAAAATCCAAATTATGATATTGTATTGTTAAAATTTATTTGCCTTTTAAGTAATCGGTTCGGAACTGATCATAAAATTAAATGAAAAAGTGGAAAATTTTGCACATATTCCATCTAGCGAGCAGTATCATAATTGTTTTTCGTTTATGGAAGACATAATTTGATTTTATTACCGACAGGTGAGCTTGTAATTTCAAAAAAAAAAAAAGCTGAAAGATTTTGTACAGTCTTTTCTTAAAGACTTTATGAAATTTTGAATAGCTCACAGAATATTTTTTATTGTATAATGTCATTTACCATGTCTATAATAAACATTTATTTGGTTATCATATAAATTTACTTGTGAAATGAAAGGCAAAGCATTAGCCATTGTAAATAGTTCCAGGAAAAAGAAAAACTGAACGCTTAAAAAAAAATAAAATTTAGATTGATGTGCAATGAAAAAATGTATATTTTTTAGCTCTAAATCCTTAAAAAATGCAATTTTGTCTTATGAAAATATTATTGTGACATTGTAATCTAATTGTAAAATGTTGTGAATATTGTTCTAGGTACGGTCAGAAGGTTTTTACAATTTTTATTTTCTAATGCCTAGGATTATCATTACTACTTAGGAATTGTCCCCGATATAATTAGACTGGCATCGTTTGTAGAAATGTTTCCATTTATTTATTTTTTTTGTTGTTATGAGAGATGTGCTAGTTTGTAAAAGTATGAAAAATACAACATTGTGGTGAAAGCAAGCAAATTCAGCTTTTAAAATCTATTCACTTAATAATTTTACTCTGTTAGTGTTTTGTTGTGGTTCGAAAATTAACAAGAATTTTAGTTTGCTTTTATTTACTTTAAATGGGACTCTCCGAATAACAAGGTGTATGGTATTCATTTTTGCTATGAATTGTATAAAAAGAAATAATTGCTTACAATTGCTTTCTTCAGTTAGATTATTTGGATAAAAAGCTCAATGTTTGCCTTTTAAAATCAATTAGTAGGCAAACGTCTTGATGATAATGGTCTGTATAGTTTTTAATTTCTCATTTCACTTTGTATTTCAGCTCGCACTAGGAAAAGACGGCGTACCACAGAAAATTTGGATATTGAAGTACGACTAGAGTCATTGATAACAAGAGTTGGGGAAAGAGTAAGTTAAGATAATCTGCTAATGTTTCCTTTCGACAGTTTTTTTTTTCCTATAGAAATCTACAGCATTGATTTTTAGGTACCCTTCCCCACTAGAAGAAAAGAAAACGGTAAATTTGCTTTTTAAGCCCCGCAAAGAAAATCTATTGTAACTTTCCTAAATCGTCGTATTTCCGTGTAAATGTATATGCCGAACTCGAAAATATCGCCTGAATTTCGATAAAACCTACCGTTTTGAAGTTATCGACAATAAAAATTCGTACTCAGTCGCGTTCATTGGTCCGCCATTACGCACCTTGTTTAACTACATTCACCGCGGAGCAATTTACTGGCGGAACCGTAATTAACGGCCTATTTACTGCTTTTACTGATCTTTCCCGTGTAAATTTCTGCGCACTGTCGGGAAAGTAGTGCCAAGTGGACATGTTTTTTTTTTTTTGTTTTTTTTTATATAAACCCTTTCCTTCGGTGTCGAAAAAGGAACAAATTAAATAGTACAATAAACTCATTTTTTGTGTCGAAAAGCAATGACAAAATGAAAAAGAACAAAATAATACAATAAAGCATTTCTTAAATTTAAAATAAACAGTTGTAAAGTAAAGAGCATGTTAATTTAAAATTACAAAGTAAAAAACATTGCTGGAAAGGAAATACTAACAAGAACAAATTTCAGTTTCAAATATTTTACAATAGATTTTGATTTTATTAAATTTTGCAATTTTAAATTACTGCTTTTTAAATTAAAAAGAATATTAAATAATAAAATAAAGCTTTTCTTTTAAATTAAAAATAAAACAAATAATAATTAATGCGCAAACTTTGCACAAACTTTGAAAAGAGCATGATCCCTACTCCTAAGCCTTAAACGTTAAGGATTAGGAGTAGGGATTGTGTGGATGTATTATGCATGAACATACATACAAAAATACAAATCACATACAGCACTAAGCATTCATTGGTTAATAAATCACCACTACATTACTACAGGCAATTTACAAATCGTAGTAATGTGACAATTTTGTAATCGCTTTATTTTTAAGTAGTCAATTTTGTGCACTTTTGACAGAAACTGATCATAGAAGCTTTCTTAAGTTTCCCCAAAGCTCGCTCACTGATTGGTTGATGCCAACCATTCAGATCGTTTGCACGTGATGAATAATTCTTCCTGCACATTGATTTGGAGCCTATAGTCGCTTATTTAAGCCAAGATTTTTCTAATCCCAACTAGTGAGATTTCAACTGCCAAACGAATCCACAACAGTTGAAACCATGTGCCAACTTTCTCACTCACACACACCACTCACATGCTGAATGTACCTTGTACACACTCACATAAACTCTTACACAGCAAATTCTTTCAAGAACAATCATTACAAGAGACTGTCATGAGCATTCTTCTAGTGAACTTTGGAACACTAAAATAACAGTTAAAGATAGACAACTCTTGGTAAAATTCAACCTTTTCTTACTTAAATGCATGCTTTCCTTCACATCACTGATATTGTACATCTTGTTAAATACATATTTTATGTGTAACAATGTGTTTTGGTTATTTTTTTTTTTTGCATGAGCCTTGTTTCCTAATCTAAACTTAATGTCTGCCACAGGATCATGCTCTTTTCAAAGTTCGTCAAAGTAATCCTAACCCCAACCCTAAAATTCAGGCGTTATTTTCGAGTTCTGCATATACATTTACATGGAAATATGATGATTTGGGAAAGTTATAGATTTTCTTTGCGGGGCTTAAAAAGCAAATTTACCAAAAAAACAATACCTCGTTTAAATTTCATTTTAAAAAAATGAAATCTTATTTGAAAGTTTGATTTTAGTTTTAATTTCAACAAATTTAATAAGCAAAATACTATATTTTGAACAGAATTTAAATTGATTGGGATCTTTTTTTATTAAATGTAAAATGTTGATATTGACAACTTTGTCAGCACAGCATGATTCACTTTATTAAAAAAATTTTTTAAAAAATAAAATATTTTTCTGAAACTTTGAGGAAAATTAGCTAATTTCATTAGTCAATTCTGAAGCAAATATTACTTTGGAAAGCATTTTTTTAACATTGGATGTGGAAAGATCTATACAGCAGCCTGATTTTGGGAAATTTAAGAAAGGGGTTCATAACTAAAAATGACTTAATGAATGCGACATAAACATCATTTTTTGGCACCACAATTTCCAGCAATATCATGATTGCTGGAAAATGAGCATACCATAATAAAAACTGTCTTAAACTTGACAAAAACAAAATTTTATCGTCAAAAATATTTATGCTACTAAGAGGAAAGAACTTTTGATTTTAAAAAAAAAAAAAAAAAAAAAATTTGTTTCTCTTCATCAGCGGATGTCCTAGTAAATAACAAAATTTTAGCGCTTTTTTTTTTTTTTTAATGACAGACATTAATTTTGAAAATCTTGCAAAATAAAAGTAATTGTTGGATTATGAAACTTTCAGAAACTATTCACAAATGATGGAAATTATTATAAATATGTTTTATTTTTTTATTTTTTTTTTTAATATTTATTACCACCCCATAACTGATTTTATGAAAATTCTTGAAATTCCAAAGTCTTAATTTTTAATGATTAATTAGTTAAAAGCATAAGGCTTTGAGGAAAGTAAATTTTTTTTTTTTTCGTTTTTAGTTGGACCCCCAATCAACTCTGAAGTGTAACATACAAAACTCAATAAAACAAACGTATTATTTAATTTCAAAAGCTTTTAGTTGTTTTTATGGATAATATTGTCTGAAAGCAAAAACATTTTCAATGAAAAATAAATTTTTACAAAAATTATTTGTTAAATTATTTTATTATTTTTACATTAAAGTTGTTAAATATTCTAAAATTAATGAAAATGGTGTACAGTTTAGGTGATGGTGTTAAGTAGATTTATCTGTACAAATTATGAATTGTAAAGCTGGTTACAATCGGCAGACTCCAACTAGATAAAAAATCTAATATAACACAGTTTTGTGTCCATAAAACTGCTGTAATTCAAATCCACGGGATACTGGAAGCACAGTGAAAACAAACGATCACGTGGTTCACGGCTTATAAACGTTCCCCACTGTTTTAAATTCTGTCATATAACTTGAGATTAAAAAAAAAATTTGGGGGGGGAAAAAAATTAACAAACAAGAAAAAAAATGTACAATATTTAAACAGATAAGGGTACCAACAAAGTATTATATACATATCTTATGAAATTTATATGGTCTTATTTTTATATCTCGGTTATGACATTTTTCCATAATTAAATATCAAAATTAATAAAATTAGTGGAAATACAAATAATACGGTAAAATGTAATAAATGTACATAAAATTTAATATATATTATGTACACTTATGATAAAATTAATTAGGTATCTTTCTTTATGAAATTTTATTTCACTCTCAACAGTCTTATTTTAAAAAAATTTTTTATATTATTATATTTTTCATGAAGCATCGTAAACGTAAAGGTGGAAAGCTAAGTGCCAAAAAACAAAAAAAAAATTAGAATGCTGAAACTTTTCCTTAAAAATAACAAGGTAAATAAGTTGGTTCACTTGAAGCTAATTCATGTCACTTCTATCCTTCCGTACAATAACTTTTCCTCACATAATCTGTCAATACATGATGAAATCATCACCTATCACATATAAATTATCACCATTGTTAGGACCTGCTTTCTCTTATTTTAAACTACATTTTTTTTTTTTTATGCAGAAAGTAATGTTCATTTTAAAATATATTAAATAAACTTTATAATTTCTAATTTTCTTAAAATAAATTTAAAAAACAGTTTATTTGTTTTTGACAGAATTTTAACCGGAAAAACTCACTTTTGTTTACTAAATTGAAAAAAAATGTCTGACAGTCGATTGTGTCAACTGTCCTACTAAAAAAAAAAAAAATAAAACAAAAGACATTGTTTTTAATGTAAATTTTGGACATGCTAGGAATAAAAAAATACTTTGATCTTTCCTTTTGATAATAACATAAACATTTAGACAATAAAAAATTATTTTTGTCAAGTTTAAGTCTGTTTTTTATCATGCTATACTCATTTTCTAAGCAATCTCATGCCAGTACCTAATGTATATATTTAATTTGCTGAATTTCACATCAAAATAAGGTTACTAAACAAATTTACCAAGCAGCATTGTTTTTATATTTTATTTTTTAGAATTTACTCTTTATTTTTTATCTAATTATTATCATCATTAATTAGTAGTAGTAAGTAATCTGCTTATTAATATTAAATATATTATTTATTTACCATTCATAAACTTTAATTTTTAAAGTTCAAATTTAAACTTATGTTAACCTTTATTGTAGGTAGCTCCATGAGATCACTAAAAAAGAGCATAGCATGATGAAAAAGATACCAAACTTGATGAAAACAAAATTTTATCATCTAAATGTTTATTATTAAGAGGAAAGATTTTGGGGGTATTTTTTTACATTTTTTAATCATTCCTAGCATGTCTGAAATTTTTGTTTAAATTTTTTTTTTTTTTTTTTTTTTTTTGAGTCAGCAAAATTGACAGATAATCAATCATATCAATCATTTTTTTCTATTTTATAAAAAAAATGAAAATCTCAGTCTGAGATTCTTTTAAAAATCAATTATAATTTTTTCAAAACTTATTTTAAGAAAATCAGAAATTATAATGTTTGTTTAAAATATTTTGAAACTAGCATTATTTAGTTTCTGCACTGAAAAGATATAGTTTGAATAAAACAAAGCAGGTCATAACATTTGGTGTCACTTGACAGGTGATGAATGACATATTGGCAGATTACGTGAGGATAATTTATTCTACAGAAGGAGAGAAGTGAAATTATTTAGATTTAATTTATTTACCTCGTTATTTTTAAGGAAAACTTTCGGTGCTCTATTTTTTTTTTTTTTTTTTTTTTTTTTTTGTACTTAGCTTTTACTTTTTATGTTTACAATGCTTTATGGAAAATATATTAGAAAGAAATTAAAATAAAACTGAGAGTGAGATTAAATTTCATAAAGGTATCTAATTAATATATAGGTACTTTTCATATGAAATTTTATCAGAAGTGTACAAAAAATACTATAATTTTATGTACATTTATTGCATTTTACTGTGTTATTTGTATTTCCATTCATTTTATTAATTTTGATATTTCATTTATGGAAAAATGTCATAACTGAGATGAATAGAAAAATAAGATCATATAAATTTCATAAGATGATACTAATACTTGTAGGTACCCTTCTCAGTTAAAACTGAAAAATCAAATTAACTTGTCCATGTGTTTCACAAAAGTAAAGCCCCTAACAGTGGAGAACAATGCTTAACTCAAATAATGCAACTTAAATGTATTCTGGTTGGTCTTCCCTACTTTATAATTACAGCCCGATTATAAACACAAAACTACATTTCTTAATTACTGCAAGTCTTCTGATTAGTCAAAACAATACAATTTAAAACGTGCTAAAGGAAAAGATCTGTCATAAGGACATTTATGAAAGTGTATGTGGCTTTTAAATGTAAAAATCTATTATGATTAAAGAAGTAACAAATAATTTTGGTCTTTCCTCTTAATAAAGTAAGCATTTAGCCGATAAAATTGTTTTCGGCAAGGTGGGTGTCTTTTTCATAGCTATGCTCTTTTTTTAGCAATTTCGTGGCGGTACCTAAGTATTATCGTCAATGTTTATTATTGAGATGAAAGACTTAATTATTTTTAAATTTTTTAATCCTTTCTAAAACAGAAATTTTAGTTAAAACCTTGTTTTGTTTATGTCAACGTGGTGGCATAATAATAACATTGACTTTTTTTGCACTTTTTTTTTCTCATTGAAAACACATTGATTTGGAAATTCTTGTAAAAAATCAAATAATTGTCTGATTTTAATGAAATTTTCAGGACTTATTCACAATTGAATGAAATTATTTTTGGATTTTTTTTTTTTTTTTTTTTTTTTTTTATTTATACATGTTACCCTCCACTTAATTTCATGAAATATTGCTAAAAAAAAAAAAACTTTCTATTTCCTGAATTTTTTTTATTCATTAAAAGTAGGACTCCTTGGAGAATCTAAATTGCCTGATCTTTTTTCAAACTTGCACTATTCTAACTGAAAATTTGCTCTGAATTGAAAAATAATTAATGCATAACATTATTTAATTAGAAAAGCTTTTAATTGCTTTTGTAAATAAGTTATAAGGACATTATTGTCTGAAGAAATTTTTCTAATGAATGAATTTTTACAAGAAATTTTTTCATTATATTTTTAAATTTAAAAAAATTTTTTTATATTGGGCTATTTATATATATATATATATATATATATATATATATATATATATATATATATAAGTGGAAACAAAATTTATGAATCCAAAATTGAAAAGATTAATAAACGTAGTTACACTATTCTATTTTTAAAATAATTTTTTATTTTTTTTTACTTAATTTGTTCCCTATTTTCATCTATGAAAGTCTAAATGTGACAATATGAAACGGTCACGTGATCTAAGAGTTTTGTCAGTGAAGTTAATTGAAAAGACTTTTATTGTATTTTAAATTGTTTTTTATTTTTGCATAACACTTCTTTGGAAGGTAAATAAAAGTCAATAAATTACTAGATAATAGTGAAAAATGTTAATTTGTAAATATTAGTAGGAATTTAAGAACCCAAAAAGTACGTTCACTTAGATTTCGTAAATTTTATATTAATTATAGCCAGCCATACTAGCTGTCATCACTTTGTCACTCAATTGCCCATCCAGATAAGCTATGATAAGCAGGACCAATCATTAAATAAATGATTGTATATTACTTTAAATCAGATTAATTTAACTTTAAATTTTCTAATTTTACTCAATGTGTCAGAAGTGTGTGTGTGTGTGTATATATATATATATATATATATATATATATATATATATATATATATATATATATATATTTATAATTTTAAAATTGATAATTTGTTTTGTTTACAAATGTCTTGAAATTAAGGAAATTTCAAATTGAGATTAAATTTGGCATTCCAATCTGTATAATAGCTATCTAGAATACACCAGAATATTTTACTTAGTGGAAATAATAAATTTAATCATTTAGCTTTCAAAGCTAAAATGAAATCTCTAAGAATTTTCATTTTTAAAAATTGATTGTAAATTTTAGGCATCGAAAATTTGACGAAATAGTGGAGACACACACACACACACACACACACACACACATATATTAGTTGTCCAGTGATCTGAAAAGTTTAAGAAAATATTTTATTGAATTTTTAAAACACTTATTGGGGAAAATGTTAGAAAATTATCAGTTGAACTTAATAAATTTATTATAGTTACATTGTTTTATTTCTCATATCATATATGGACATTTGTATTTATTTACTAAAATCGACTCATTTATACACGCACATGAAAAGATTCAGTTCTTTTTTTAAATAATGGTGTTTGTTGAATTGAGCTTTTCCTTTTGGGTTTAGTTAATACAGTTTTAATTTAATAACATTATCACTTGACTGCTACAAATTAATACAAAGTTTTAATATTTGAAAGTTTATAAATTAATTTTTAATTTAAATTAAAAAAACAAAAATTATTCATCAAAGAAAAATATTTTTGTAAGACATTAGTAATATATTTTATTCATAAAACCAATTAAAAACTTCTAATTACAAAATGTCATTTTCATTTTATGATTTAGGTCTGACTTTTTTGTAATTTGATTTAAATTCTCCTGGGGTTTGTCCTTATAACAAATATAAACATTAAGCATTGCAAAAAAATTCTAAATTTCATAAAATTAAATGATTGAAATGATTTTATGATGAAATATTGTTTTAAGGTATGCTATATTTATGGGTTAATGTGCTCAATATCAGCAATAGAACGTATGTAGATATACAAGTGGACATTTAAGTCAACTCCTAATGGTGACAGTAGCATGAAACACTGTCGCCATTGGGTGTTGACTTAAATGTTAACTTTTTTTTCTTCACAAAGATTTTCTAAAACATTTTTAAAAACTAATTTCATTTAGTTTTGAATAAGTTCTATTTCACTAAAATCTGACAATTATCCAATTTTAACAAGAATTTTTTTCACCACAAAAAAATGCTTAAATTTCCCATACAAATTTTAGGTCCTACATTGATGCAAAATAAAAAGATTTTTAACTAGTATTTAAAAATTCTAAAAAGGTTAAATATATATATATATATAGCATTTATTTGTGTGTGTACTGTAACTTACTAGTGTGCTATAATAGAAACAAGTGTCATTTCTTTGAAGTTAAATTTTATTAAATCTTAGCTAATAGAATTTCTGTAAGCATTTAGTCAAGACTTTCTTAAAAAAAATAAGTATGCTTAAACATTAAAAATGTATTTTGTATACATTTTATATTTATCAATTTTGTTAAACTATAGAGTACATCTTCACTGGAAAGTAACTTGGAAGGGCTTGCGAGTGTGTTGGAAACTGATTTGCCAAATTACAAACACAAAATATTGAAGATTTTATGTGATTGGTAAGTATTAGCAGATATATTTTACATTGAATAACTTGATAATGATCTAAAAAAAATTATTTAATGTCTGGTTTTGTAGTATTGCAGTCTTTTAATATAAAATTCTAAACGTTATGTTTATCTTTATTTTATTCTTGAAAATATGCCCTGTACTATATGATTTAACAGAATTCAGTATGTGCCATTTATTACAGGGATATTATTTAATCCTTTCATAACTTTTACTTATTCAACTTTGTTTTTTATTACATATGCAACTGAAACTAAAATGAACTGGCAGCAAATAAATAATAATCCGTTTTGAAATTTAATTGTCCAGCTAAGGAACTTTTTGCAGAAATAAAATGTTTTAGAAAGATAGTTTTTCAGTTGATATTGCTATTACTTTGTTTATTTACAAGTTTATAAAATTATGTAAGCCAATTACAATGTAATATTTATTTTTTACCATTTTATAAAGATTCATTATTTATCATTTTATAAAGTAATAAATTTTAAATATCTTATTAAAAAGTTTATGAAAACCTCCAACATTTTCAAATTATGTTAAGCAACTACAATACAATATTTATTATTTACCATTTTATAGATAAATACCTATGAAAACAATTTTTTATTAAGTTTTATAAAAATATCTATGAACTATAGAGCAAGAAAATTTAAACATTTTTCCTGACCCTATATGTTTTGCTCTCAATTTACTTTATAACTCTGGTTACTTGTTTTGATTTTTCAATTTTTTTTATAATTGTGATCTAAGATTCTTAATCACTAGAAATCCAAAGCCTAAAAGACTATCAATTATAGGTTACACAACTAATCTTTTTGAAAAAAAATTTTAAACTGTTTCTAATTTTTCTAAAAATACCTAGAAAATCTGTCAATAGATTATCATTGTGCAGCACGATTTTTGTCCTTGGGTAGCAAAAAATGAAATGACTAATATTTCCTTCAAGCTTTTGTTTTTTGTGACCAGGATAATATTGGGTGTTCCAATAACTTGGATTGATTTTAAATGTGAATTAAGTTTAAGTGTCTAATTTTTTTTTCTTTCAGATTTAACAACTTGTCTTAGGCAATTTCAACCATGGAAAGATTATCAAACAACATATTAAAGTTATTGAAGCCTATTATTAACATGAATGTTCAAATTTGTAAATATATGGCCCAATGATTCCACTAGCAAAAAATGCACACCAAACAGTGATCTTTGTGGATGCAGTGGCCTTTTAACAATCTTCCTTAGATTTTCATCTGCCCAAATGCGACAGTTCTGCTTGTTAGCCAATCCACCAAGATGAAAATGGGGCTTCATCAATAAAGAGGACTTTTTTTTTTTTTTTTTTTTGAAAAATTTCATCGGCTTGTCTTTGCTCATGCACCCAATTGACAAATTTATGACACTCTAAATGGTCAGCAGGTTTCAGTTCTTGTATCAGTTGAATTTTGTAAGTGTGTAGTGACAGATCTTTTGTTAAAATTCAGTGTAATGTTATTGTGGTGATGTTCAATCCTGCGCGCGATTGACAAGAGGCATCTGGGTTTTTGGCCACATTCTTGTGCACTGCAGATTTCAGCTGAATAGCCTAAACAAGTACACAATGGTGTTTTCACATCTGCCACCAACCCAGTTTGTTTGAATTTATGAACAATTTTTCGAATTGCACTCTGGGTCGGTCAATTATTTTGACCAAAAAATTGCGACATTGACAAAATGCATTTGTTTGAATGTCCATTTTTATAATAGGCTTTGATAACTTTAACACATTGTTTGATTGTTAATCTTTCTATGGTTGAAATTGCCAAAGACTTAAGTTGTTAAATCTGAAAGAAAAAGGAAAAAATTATTAGATGCTTAAACTTAATTCACATTTAAAATCAGTCCAAGTTATTGGAACACTCTATTCCTATTGGGGAAAACAGCCAAATTTGAACTTTCTTGTTCACGCAAAGTAGGAACAAAACCTGATTCGAAAGTAGCATTTACTTATTCTAGGAATACATGAGAGATCACAAAAATTTAGATGCGAGTAGTACATTATTTTCGCAAATCAGCCCCTAAATATAGTCTTATATAATGTTTTTGTTATATGATCCTTAGTAGCAACATTCAATTTCAGTATACCCTGGTGGAAGTGCTTGCCTTGCTCCTGAGTACACCTCATTGTTCTTCTGTAATTTATCAAGAGATGGACTTTGAGGGACATTCTGTAGTCGATTTTGCTGTAGATCTTCACTAGGGTTTCAACAAGATCCGCATAGTTTTTGGCCTTGTGATTCCCCAAGAAGCCCCAGACCATTCTTTGCGCTCTATTATCTTCTTTATGGTCCAACGAAGACAATGGCTTTGACTTTTGCTGCAGACGTCTTTGGGAAGTCTTGAAGCTACATGGAAGCTGCAGACTCTAGATGTGCGTCAAATTGTTTCATAAGGCCCAATTTTAAGTGCAGTGGAGGAGTTGCTACTTTCCAGGGGAACAACAGTGGCTCACATTTTATGTTGTTTCTCCTGACACTGAACTTGGTACACTGTAGCCAGTCCTGCCTGTGGTACTATGTTGTGGTGTCCTAAAGGCAATAATAACATGGAAACTTGGTAAAGCTGCCTTAGAGACCTATCAGGAAGGTCATCATTTTAAAGTCTCCAATTACCTCCTAACTATACTTTTCATACTGCAAGACACCTAGTAAGATCTTGACACTGCTTATTCCTCTTTGAGCTGCATCTAGTGAGCAAGGGGAAGACCTGTTCCCGTTATGAAACAGCACTTTTTGAGGCTTGTGGATCTGTCAATGAAGAAGTACCACATGCTGGGGTTACAGATGATTCACTTTTCTTAAACAGACTGGTCACATTGTGACAGAAGCAAAACCTATCATGACGAGTGAAAACGCTTGAAAAGCACTGGTGATGTTTTCTCTGACCTGTGACTTGCACACTTTCATCTAACAAATTCCATTGTTTGAGCACTGATGTCAAAAGCTTGATATTGGACTTTGTGAGACCAACATCTCTGATCAGGTTGTTGAGGTCTTTTTGATGGGAGTAGCACGAGTTTCTCTCCTCAGCTGCGCCTCTATAATCAAGATCACTGACTTCATCCTCTCCTGAATTGTTGTTCTCTTCTGAAGATGGAGGATTTCTATTTGAAAATTTTCATATTTATTTCTTTATAAATTGGTAAATTATAAACATTGTATTAGTTGGTTTGCATTTTCAGAATGTTGTAAATATAAATTATTCTTGTTTAAAAGAATGTACAAATTCTTTCATATGTTTGCATTTTGTCAAAATTCTAATCGTTGCTTTTTAAAACAAACATTGCTGAGGAAGTGAAGATAGTACAAAATAATAGTGGTGTCAAGTTAAAAACTGTCCTTTTGACAATTTATTGTCGGCACAAAGGTTAAATTTTTCCAAAATCTTTACCAATTGTTCAAGATGAATCCTCAAATAGCTGGTTGGGTTAAATAAAGGTTTCACTTCGAAATTCCTTGAAAGTTACCCAGATCAGCAAAAATTTGATTAAAGCCATAGGACATAACGGCCAAAACGTGATAATAACAAAGATGGAGTCTGCATGTAAATATAACATGCAGACTCCATCTTTGTTATTATCATAATGTTTTGGCCGTTGTGTCCTATGGCTTTCATCAGGTTTTTGCTGATCTGGGTAACTTTCAAGGAATTTTGAAGTGAAACCTTTAACCATTCACCCTACTCTCTATAGAATTTTTCCTCCTGCCACTGCATTTTTTTTTTTTTTTTTTTTTATTTATTTATTTTTTACAAAATTTTTTTTTTTTAAAGGGAACAAAAAATATGAGCACTTACTGTTTTAAAATTGTTATAACATCCTTTGTATTGTGTATATAAACTTGATTTTTGTATACTAATAAAAGAATGGATGAGTAATGTTTTGATTTATTCTGCATGCATGTTTTGACATTTAAATCCAGAATACAAAAACAAATACAGTGGCATACTTTTATTATTCTTTGTTTAGAGCAGTTGATCCTGTACTCTACCAGTCTAACGAACCTCTGGAAGAAGAGTACCACATTGCACTTTCTGCACAGGAACTAGGTTTAGTAGTGCTTCTTGTCTCTGTTTGAGTAAACAAGAGTGTGCCTTCCAGATTTCAGGCACTTGGGGTTGATCACAAAGTGGTGTTCTGTTAACATTAGTCTGTGTGGGAGGGAGGGAGGAGAGTCTTCTGTTCTCCTACCTGTTCTGTTAGATTAGGTACCTTCATGAGATTGCTAAAAAGAGTATAGCATGACAAAAAAGATGCCAAACTTGGATGAAAACAAAATTTTATTGTGTAAATGTTTGTTATTATTAAGAGGAAAGATCAAAGTATTTTTGGATTATTTTTTACATTTTTTAATCGATCCTAGGACATCAAAAATTTTCGTTAAAAATCTTGATTTTTTTTTTTTTTTTTTTTTTTTTTATCAGCAAAATTGACAGATAATTAATCATGGCATTTTTTTCCATTTTATAAAAAAAATGAAAATCTCAGTTTGAAATTCTTTTAAAAATGAATTATAATTTTTTCAAAACTTATTCTAAGAAAATCAGAAATTATGATGTTTATTTAAAATATTTTGAAACAGCTTAACTTAGTTTCTGCACTGAAAAGATGTAGTTTGAAAATAAAACAAAGCAGGTCATAACATTTCGTAACATTTCGCGTCACTTGACAGGTGACAAAAGACATTTTCATGGCGTTGATAGCTTACATGAGGATAATTCCTTCTATCAAAGGAGAGAAGTGAAATTATTTACCTCGTTATTTTTAAGGAAAACTTTCAGCGCTCTATATTTTTTTTTGTACTTAGATTTCACCTGTATGTTTACAATGCTGTATGGAAAATATAAAGAAATTAAAATAAGACTGTTGAGAGTAAGATTAAATTTAATAGGATATCTAATTTATTGGTATGTTTCTTATTAAATTTTATTGGAAGTGTACATAAAATACAAATTTAAATTTCATAAGATGATACTGATACTAGTAGGTACCCTTCTCAGTTGAAATTGAAAACTCAAATTAACTTTTCTACATGTGTTTCGCAAAAATAAATCTATCTCAAATTGACATTTATGAAACTGAATGTAGCTTTTAACTAATTTCATAATATTTTAACAACTTAAATGTAAAAATCTATTATAATTAAAGAAGTAACAAATAATTGTATTAAAAATTCAGTATTTAAGTTAAATACTAGACAGAAACTCAATCCACATGACATTTTTTTTATTGCACGCATGATACTTCTGGTCTTCCGTAGACTTGATTTACAGTCTTACTATTGACACAAATATTTTTTTATATACTGGTGTCCATTAGTTTGTAAGAAGCTTTGGAAATTATAATCTGTAAATATATATCTACTTAATAAACAACATTCGTTAAATTTTACAAACTTTTCTCTAATTTTAGAAGAATTAACATTTGATGTAAAAATGATAAAATATTTCAGAAATCTTACTTATTATAAAATGCAGATTGTGTGTGTGTCTGTACGTTTATATATTGGATCGGATTTCCTACATTTTTCAACCGATTTCAACAAAATCTCACAGGACTACGTAAAATTACCTTGCAGTGGGTCTGACAGCGCCAAAAATTGGAAAAACAATTGCTTTTGCACAAAATCAATTTGAAAACACGATTAAGAGGCATCACGAGAATGAAAGAGGGACAACTCATATCGAGTTATACTTATAAAACCCAGGTTGTTTGTGTGTGTTCGTTTATATATGGGATCAGATTTCCTACATTTTTCAACCAATTTCAACAAAACTTCATTTTTTTTTTTTTTTTTTTTTTTTGGCAGGTAGTGTTTCTTATTGTCTTGCACACTTTTTTCTTTATTTTTACATTCAGAATGCTTTAAAAATTCCATTTACAAGACAATTGTTTATAATAAAATTCTATTCAATTCATAACGATTGAAAACAATGTTTTTGTTTGGGTTTGACCAATTTGTAAAAAAAAAAACAAAAAAAAAACTAATTAAGATATGCATGTCCATCAACCTTAAACAATAATCTTTGTCAATTTTATTTTTCAGTCTTTATGATGGTTGATACTTGATCTATCTTTTACTGTTACATCCCCGGGGAACACCAGGCTCTACTGCTAGTAACAAATAATTCTTTTAAAAATTCATTTTTCGCCAAAATATCTTTTTTCTTTTGTTTTCAGACAATATTGTCCATGTTCATTAAAATAAATAAAAGCAATTAAAAGCTTTTGAAATTAAATATTTTTGTTTTGAGTTTTGTATGTTACAATTCAGAGATGATTTTCAGGTAGAGGTTGTCTAACTAAAAAAAAAAAAAATTGTTTTCCTCAGCCTTGTGCTTTTAACTAATATAATCACTAATCTTCCCCCAAAATTGAAATTACAGTGTAACCTGGATATAAGAGATTTTCTCTGGTCCCAAATTAGAGCCTGTGTTAATGTATATATAATAGACCAAACACGGATATAAGAGACTTCTTCTCCGGTCCCGACAACTCTCTTACATCCGGGTTACACTGTATAGAGTTTTCGTACAATTAGTTATGGTGGGGTAATATATAAATAGATGACTTTAAAAAAGGAAAACATATTTATAATAAGTTCCATCATTTGTGAATAGTTTCTGAAAGTTTCATTAAAATCCGACAAGTATTTTTATTTTTGCAAGATTTTCAAAATTAATGTCTGTCATACAGAAAAAAAATGCGCTAAAATTTTATGTTATTTTACTAGTTCCAGAGAAACAAGGTGTTTTTAATCAAAATTTAGAATGTTCTAAAAAGAAAGGGAAATTTTTAAAAATAATTAAAAAAATACTTTGATCTTTCCTCTTAATAATAACATTTTAGATGCTAAAATTTTGTTTTTGTCAAGTTTGGTGTCTTTTTCATCATGCTATGCTCTGTTTTTAGCGATCTCATGAAGGTACCTATATTAGATGCACTTGATTGGTAGCCTTCCACTAGAGAATGCACAATCTTCAACAGGAGCTTTTCAGCTTTGACTCAGTGGGCTGACTTTGCTTTCCAGATGACCAGAGCATTGCAAAAAAACAGATTTCAAACAGATAATAAAAACTTTTCTCCACCATTATTTACATTATTCAGACTATTGTCCTCATCTTTGTCGCCATATTTATCACAATGTTTCGGCCGATGTACGCTTTGGCCTTCTTCAGGTGGTTGGAATGTCGAACTGAACCCTTTATTTCGTTCACTGGGGTAGACTGTTCTAGTTCTACGTGCCATGATTGATGGATGTCAATTATCAATTGTCTCCTGTTAATTTCCCTCCGAAATAATAATTAAATAATGTACATAATACCTCATCTCAGAAATAGACTTTTCTCCATCACTTGGTACATCTGTGCAGCACCATAAAATTGGTTATTTGCTTGTCAGCTCTAACTCTCCCATGTCCTGAGAGATTGCTCAGCACAAGGCTTATACATAATCCTTGTATGACATTTTGAAAAGTTCTCTTCTGATGGTGTGGGCCATACTCATCAAATATACTGGCCTTTTGTCATGCCAGGAAATGGCATCTGTGTGATGTTGGCGTGGGGGAGGTGACTTGTTTGCTCAAGGTTTTTATGCTTTTATTTCATTTAGCACACTTGATTCACATAGTGTGTTACATGTGCCTGTTCTGTGTTGGGCTAGTGGGTGAAAAAAAAATTGTCTATGTAAATAACATATCCTCTATTCTGTACCTTCTCTGACAGGGAGGAAACAACTTAGTGGGCAACACCAACTATCCTTGGTGTTGGAGGTATTTCCCAGCCCAAGTACAGCTGCTAATTGTAGAGGTAGCCTGTGTTCACATAGACTATTCCCCAGGCTTTCAGGTGCTACTTGGTTGGTTTTGCTGGTATGTACATCAGTAGGCTTGTTCCTTTGAAAGGAATCATACATAACAATCCTAAGAAACCTGGCATCTGAATAAAATCATCAGTTGGCTATAATAATTTGAATGATGACAGTTTTGAGAGTCCCAGTTAGTGGCAACATGGTTTTTGTGAGTCCCAATTTATTGTCCTGTTTCCATAGGTCCTAGCATGCACTGCATGGAACAGAGATTAAAAGCACTATTACTATGTCAACAAATTCATAAACCATAATTATTCAGAGGGAGAATTTGGAGACTTAAACCTAACCTCCATGCTGATTAGTGCTGCTGCTATTGTCATACTTGACTGTACTCCTGATGCAGGAGTTCAGTCAATTTCCCTGAGACTTCACTTTTTACTGCAGCTGCTGTTGAAACCTTGCTGTCACTATTCTTTATTAGTGGCTCCCATATATTTATTTCTATACTAGGCTTACTTAGAGTGATCCCATATCATATGTGCTGATTCTTTCACATACGCTTATTCCTCTCTTTCCAGTATTACTTCATTCCACAGTGATTGGTGACTACCCTTTTCCCTTTATACATAAGCCATTCCTGATTTCATTGTCTCACCCCAAATTATGACTTGATGTTCCTCCCACCTTACTTTTAAAAGATGACTAGTTTCGCCTTTGCATTCTTTACCAACTGCAAAAGCTGGTGTACACACAGTACTTGGTCATGTTCTCCTCTCTTAGGTTTGTCTCAGAGATTTCTCCATTGGTTACAGATGCTTCAGAATATTGTCCTGATGTTGTATGGACTGCAACTCTGAACTTTTCTGATAAGCTTACCACAAAGTGGGTAAAAGGAATTTAAAATTTGGTAAATTGATTTGACAAAAATGTTTCGCACATATCTTGTAGAATTACTGTACAAACTTCACTCAATACCCACTTAGATAGGTTTAGCAGTCTGATGTTTTTTGTTTTTTCTCGGTCACACCTGTGATTCTTTTAATGTTAAGATTTTTTTTGTTTTAAAACACCCAGTACCTTGAAATTGTCATGTTTTTGAAGCATTCTGTATTGATACTTTTTTGACATTATTAAAGAATTTTCATAAATATTTTTTTTTTTTTTCTTAAAAGGGACTAAGACAAAATAAGTTCTGTCAAATATTAATAGGATTTGGCTAACATCAATGTGATAGAATATGAAGGGAATCTACAAGGCAAAATATTGATGCAGACCAATAGAAGTATAGATATGTAATTGCTGATATCATTCAATTTGGTACTGTTTACCTGAAATTGCATAGATTTTAATTTTTTTTCTTTGGATTTTCTAGTGTCATTAGACTTCCAGAAAAGCAGACTGTTTACACAACACTCGTTGGTTTGCTGAATGCAAAAAATTACAATTGTGGAGGCGAGGTAAATTGACCAAAGATTTTTTAACTGTAAAGGCTTAGAATTTTCTAAATTTTACAAGTTTTATTTTAGTATAGTGTTTTTAATTTTCTTTTTTTCATTGATTTCATACATAAAAATTTATAAAATAACTTTCCGAGAAAACTTCTCCAATGATTTTGAGATGTTCATCTGCTTGACATTCAGATTAATGTATTTTAATATAAAGTCATGACATCTAATTTATAAATACTTTTAATGTTTGTCAATTTTGCCATTTACACTGTCATTTAACAAGTCTTTATTTCAGTTTGTGGAGTTGCTTGTCCGTAATTTGAAGGAGGTTCTGAAAATTGGAGCATTTGAGTATGCTCGTTCCATGGTGAGTATCTATCTATTTTTATTACATATTTTTTACTCCCTAAAAAGGTTTCATGGTTTCTTTTATAGTAAGGATGATATAAAATTTTTAATTAAAACCTCATATTCTAAAAGTAACTAATTTCTTTAAAATTGTTTTACTTCTCCCCAATAATGGTGTGATAAAAGAAGCACAAGCTCTTTGTGAACAAAGCTTAGTGTTTCTTTCAATATTAGGAAATGGAAGTTGAAGTGCTTAGATTTATATATTTGTATTTATCTCTGAATATGAAAATTGTAAGAAATAATATTGCTTTAATAAACAAAGCAAGAAAAATATGTATTTTATGTTAATTTTTGGTTAAAAGACTTTAATGACTCATTAACAAACAATATTTGTGTTTTTTGCTTATTTGAACTCGTTTGAAGAAACTAGGCAGATTTTAAATGTTAAACAAACACTGAAAACTGTCATGATGGCAGACAGGTAAATGAAAATGTTTTTATAAAGTATAAAAACGGTTTTGTTTGGAATGATAAAAAATTCCTCTTAGTGTATCACCTTAAATAATACATGGGTACCTCAGGGATCACTAAAAAAGAGCATGGCATGATGAAAAAGATGCTGAACTTGACAAAAACAAATTTTTATCATTTAAATGTTTATTAAGAGTAAAGAACAAAGTATTTTTTAATTATTTTTAAAAAATTTTCCTTTTTAGAACATTCTAACGTTTAAAATAACCTTGTTTCTCTTTGTATCAGTGGAACTACTAAAGAACATAAAATTTTAGCACATGTTTTTTTGTATGATAGACATTAATTTGGAAAATATTGCAAAAATAATTGTTAGATGTTTATGAAACTTTCAGAAACTATTCACGAATGATGGAACTTATTGTTTTCTTTTTTAAAGTCATGGCAAAAATATTTTTTTTATATTTATTACACCCCCATAACTAATTTTATGAAAACTCTAGAAATTCAATACTGTTCAGTTTAGTGATTCTATTAGTTAAAAGCACAAGGCTTTGAGGAAAGCGAATTTTTTTTTTTTTTTTTTTTTTTAATTGGACCCAATCCTGAAAATCAACTCTGAATTGTAAGATACAAAACTCAATAAAACAAAGATATTTAATTTCAAATGCTTTCAGTTGCTTTTATGAATATGGATAATATTGGCTGAAAGTGAAACAATTTTTTGATGAAAAATGAATTTTTAAAACAATTTTTGTTGTTTCTTAAATTATTTTATTATTGTTACATTAAAGTTATTAATGAATTCTAAAATTAAAACTGCATTCAGTTTAGTCAATGGTGTTATTAAATAGATCTCTTTTAGCATTATAAGTTGTATAATAAATGTTAAATGAAGAATGGGTGCTAAAGACTTTGACTAAAGCAACTGGAATGGTTGATAAAATGTCAGCGAAATACCAATCAATTCAAACTACATAAAATGGTAAATAATAAAGATTTCATTATAGTTCACATATTTTTATGATTTAGTAAGTTTTTATAAATTTATGAATAAAATATTGTTTTCATATTTCTTTATAAATTGGTAAATGATAAACATTGTATTAGTTGGTTTGCATTTTCAGAATGTTGTAAATATAAATTATTCTTGTAAATTCTTTTTTAAAAGAATGTACAAATTCCCTTTCATGTTTGCATTTTGTTAAAGTTCTGATCATTGCTTTTTAAAACAAACATTGCTGAGGAAGTGAAGATAGTACAAAATAATAGTGGTGTCAAGTGAAAAACTGTCCTTTTGACAACATTTTATTCAAAGGTTAAACTTTTCAAAAATCTTTACCAAATGTTATTCAAGATGAATCCTCGAATAGCTGATTTATATTTACATGCAGACTCCATCTTTGTTATTAGCCAATGTGTCCTATGGTTTTCATCAGGTTTTTGCTGATTGGGTAACTTTCAAGGAATTTTGAGGTGAAACCTTTAACCATTCACCCTACTTACTCTCTAAAGAATTTTTCCTCCTGCCACTGCATTTTTATTTATTTTTTTAAAGGGAGCAAAAAATATGAGCACCTACTGTTTTAAAATTATCTTTCTTTTTGTTGTGTATATAGACTTGATTTTTGTATACTAATAAAAGAATGGATGAGTAATGTTTTGATTTATTCTGCATGCAGGTTCTGACATTGAAACCCAAAATAAAAAAACAAATACAATGGCATACTTTTAATATTCTTTGTTTAGTGCAGTTGATCCTGTACTCTACCAGTCTAACGAACCTCTGGAAGAAGAGTACCACATTATAGTGATCAGAAGAGCCAAATGTTATAAAAAAAAATAATTCCAGATGGCTTCTGTATCCATAAAATGGCAGTAAATCAAATGTACGGAAGTCGCATTATTCGAGTTAAGCTTTTCTCTGCTGTTAGGGCCTTTATTTTTGTGAAACACATGTGAAGTTAATTTGATTTTTCACTTTCAACTGAGAAGAGTACCTACAAGTATTAGTATAAATTTGATGAAATTTATATGATCTTATCTTTATATTTTCTCAGTTATGACATTTTTCCGTAAATGAAATATCAAAATTAGTAATACAATGAATGGAAATACAAATAACGCTGTAAAATGTAATAAATGTACATAAAATTATAGTATTTTATGTACACTTCTGATAAAATTTCATAATGGTGCCTATTTATTAATTAGATACCTTTTTGTTATGAAATTTAATCTCACTCTCAACAGGTCTTATTTTAATGATTTTTATAATATATTTTCCATAAAGCATTGTAAATGTAAAGGTGAAAGCTAAGTATCAAAAAAAAAAAGAAAATTTGCCTTAAAAATAACAAGGTAAATAAGTAGTTGGTTCACTTAAAACTAAATAATAATGTTACTTCTGTCCTTCCGTACACTAACTTTCCCTTACATAAGCTGTCAATACGTGATGAAATAGTCACTCCTCACTTATAGCCAGCTTTATTTTTAAACTACATTTTTTCAGCACAGAAACTAAGTAATGTTTGTTTCACAATATTTTAAATAAACTTTATAATTTCTAATTTTCTTAAAATAAATTTTGTAAAAATTATAATTGATATTTAAAAGAGTTTGAAACAGATTTTCATTTTGTTTGTTTTTTTTTGTTTTTTTATTTCTTTTATAAAATGTAAAAAATGGTTGACATGATTGATTATCTGTCAATTTTGCTGACACAAAAATCAAGGTTTTTAACGAAAATTTAGGATGTGCGAGGAACAATTAAAAAATGTGAAAAGAAATACCCCCAAAATATTTTGATTTTTCCGCTTAATAATAACAAACATTTAGACAATAAAAAAAATTTTCATCAAGTAAGGCCCTTTTTTTTTTTTATTATTATTATTATTATTCATGCTATGCTCTTTCTTTAGCAATCTCTCCAAGGTACCTAGTCTTACATTTCCATGTAAATCTAATTAAGGTGATTCAGCTGAAATGTTTAAATTTTAATATGATTTTTATAAAAATTACAGTCGCATCATTTGATCCATGAAATTGTCCTAACAAGCTATTGAAATACATTGTTCAGTCATTTTGTACACATGGTTTCATAATACTCATTAATCAGCTTAATTGCATTATTACTGAGAATGATAACCATACAAAATTAGGCCATAATTAACTTAAAGAATAAAGGATGCTCATCAATTTGGTGAGTGAACCATAAGGTTCAATCAAAGTTATCTTTTGCAAAAAAATATTTCATAGATATTACATCTCTGTTCAGTGCTGAGGTTAAAATTATAGTTCCAACCAAAGTCAGAAATGGTTATTTTTTTTGATGGCCTTTGTTGGTTGGTTGGTATTGCACAAATGGTGTCAAGATTTGTCTTTTGATGGGACTTTAATACAATACCACTTTCGAGTGAGGTTATGGAGTGTTCTAAAAATATTGATTATAACAAATTCAGGCTGCAAGTCACCATTTAGTAGAGGAAAGCAGAAGGACCATTCCAACTGTCTAGAAGTATTTTTTCATCAGTTCCAATAAATGTATTTTTTTTTTTTTTTTTTTTTTTTAGTTTGAAGATAAAGGAGCTTAACACTTTACAATAAGCATATGTTTGAAGGATTAATTTAATTTTATGAAACAAATTTCTAAGTTTTGCAGTCATTTGTTTGACAAGTAAAAAATTTCATAAACTTCCAAAAATAGATACATCTAAGATAGTATCACAGAGAAAACAATACTGTTGAATCCTCATTTCAAAATTAGTAGTTTCAGGCATGTAACTAATAAATACATTTTTATGGCAACTATTGACCTGTTTTTGCCCTATTGCCAAAATGTGCTTCTGGTTGTGTCAACATGGTGTAAATATGAATTTTTTTTTTTAATATACTAGCAGGCTTCAACTGCTTAATACAATCCTTGAATTAAAGAACAGTAATGAAGGACAGTTAATTAATGAAATAAACTATTTTAAAATCAATATGCAAATTAGTTAAACCTGGAGAGTCATATTGCCTAGAAGTTGATAATATATAATACTAAGTATCTCCATTATTTCGGCATAAATTTTCTATATTTAAGTTTAAAATGAATTTTTTACAAAGAAAAAACATTCTTGAAGATTTTATTTTAGCTTTAAAAAAAGTTTAATCATTAAATTTATGATTTCCATTAATTAAACAATTCTGGTGTATTTCAGATAGAAACTATATACATTTGATTGTCAAATTTAAATTCAAATTTTTTAATTTTCTTAAAATCGGCCATTTTCTTAAATTTGTGTTTGTTTAGAAATTTCTTAAAATTATCGATTTTGAAAATACTTAAGAAAATTTCTAACACGTTATTTTAGTAAAATTAAAAAATTTAAAGTTAAAGTAATCTGATTTGAAAGATCTTTCTTTCTTATAGCATAAAAAAATAATATACAACCAATTATTAACGAGCGGTCCTGTTCATCTGATCGAACTATTGATGGATTGTTGAATGACGAACCGATGACAGCCATTACTGATGTCCATAAATGACATAATTTTTAAGTCTGAGTTTTTAAAAAAATTATTCTATTTGAGTATGACACACACTAATGGAAATACAATACATAAAATTATTTAGTGAAATAGTAAATGAAAAAAAGAAAAAATAATTTAAAGTTTACACTTTTAAAGCTGAACGGAAAATACAACCTGTAAGAAACGAAATGTTATGAAAAGGCCATGTAAAGGGACAAAACCCTTAGATCACGTAACCTTGTTATAATAATGGCAATTTCTGTATATCATACATGGAAATAAGGAATGTATTAAGTAAAAAAATACAACATAAAAAATTATTTTTAAAAAAAGTAGCGCAACTAAATTTATTAGCAATTTTGGACTCGTAAATTTTTTTTTCTACTTAATTACTACATCACCCTCCTAATACAGAGCTTTACATGATTTTAAACTATTATAAATTATTATAATTAAAATTTCTTAAAAAACGAAAAAATTCTTATAATAATTATTCATCAGAAAAAATTATTTCTTCAGACAATAATGTCCTTAATATTACTTATTTACAAAAGCAATTAAAAGCTTTTCTAATTAAGTAATATCATAGTTTTATTGATTCATTATTTTCAATTCAGAGCAGATTTTCAGTTAAATAGCTCAAATTTGAAAAAAAAGTAGGTTATTTACCATCTTCGAAGACTCCTACTTTTAACAAAAAAAAATTCAGGAACCAAAAAAAGTTTTTTGGGCGAAATTTCATTAAATTAAGTAAATGTGGGTTAACATATTTTAAAAAAATATTTTTTAACAAAATTTTCTAAAAAAAAAAAAAAAAAATTTCAAAAATAATTTCATTGATTTGTGAATAAGTCCTGAAAATTTCATTAAAATCGGACAATTACTTGATTTTTACAAGAATTTCCAAATCAATGTGTTTTCAACGGAAAAAAATTGCAAAAAAATCGCAAAAAAAGTTATTTTCTGTGACGCCGCGATGACGTAAACAAAAGAAGAATTTAACCAAAACTTCGAATGTGTTAGAAAGGATTAAAAAATTTTTAAAAAATACTTTGGTCTTTCATCTTAATAATAACATAAGCATTTTGACGATAAAACTTTATTTTAGTTAAGTTTGTGGCATTTTCATTACACTATATGCTGTTTTCCCGCGAAAACAGTGAACATGCTTATATAATACAGACATTGAGAATTTTGCATATACCTTACTCTTTTGAGTAGGTACACCTCTACTTCTCTCAGTTGCGTCTCTGTCCTTGGACAGAGTGCGCTCAGTGGCTTCTCTCTCAAAGGACAGAGGGGCAACTGAGAAAATTATACTAAAGAGGTGCCCAGCCCTGGGGAACAGCTGCCCAAGGCCGCACCCTCCCATTGCACTAGAGGGAGTGAACGTTTGTGGGGGCTGAGGGGATTTTTTGTTCCTGTCCCAGGTGTATGTGCTCGGGTCCCCACTGTTTTTATTTTTATTTTTTTAATTTTTTTTATTTTTTTAATTTTTATTTTTTTAAGTCCTTGTGTCACTTCTCATCGCAGTGGGAGACAGTAAATACTGTGTGTAAATGACTAGCTTGGACTATCTCTGACCAGTGGCCCGAGTGAAGGCACTAGTGTCCCCCACGTTAAAAACCAACCTTGTGTTACAACCGGACTCTTCAAGTCAATACAGTGTAAATTTGTGACACATCTATTTAACATCTCTGTTGCATCTTTGTCTTGGGGCAGATTGCGCTCAGGGTCAACTCTGTCAAAGGACAGCCGCAACTGAGGAAAATGATACTGAGAGGTGCCCAGACCTGAGGAACGGCTGCCTGGGGCCATGCCCTCTCATTGCATCAGACAGAGGGATCAGGGCTTGCACCGGTCGATTGCAAGGGCTGAAGGCAATTTTTGTTCCTGTACATGCTCGGATATTCCACCTTAATAAAGACCTTGTGTCACAACTTGTCTTAGTGGGGAGACCGGGTAAATACCTAGTGTGTAAATTCCTCTCTCTTGAGTAGTATACATATTTTGATACTTACCGGCCACAGGGATCCGTCCCTGTGCTGGTAGTATTCCAGCTATGACTAGCTTAGACCAGCTTTGACCAATTTGGACAAGGCCAGCGACCCAAGTGATGACAAGTAAATACAGTGTAAATTTGTAACACATCTATTAAATCATCATCTCTCAGTTGCATCTCTGTGTTTGGGCAGTGTGTATTCATGTGCGGCTCTGTCAAAGGACAGTCACAACTGAGGAAACAGGTGCCTGAGGCAGCATTGTCTCATTGCACCATTGAGTGATCGATGCTCACACTGAGTGAAGCACAACCAACAGTTGTGGGGGCTCTGGGAATTTTTGTGTATGTGCCTGGGCTCCCCACATTAAACCAATCTTGTGTGACAACGTGACTTTGTGGTGGGAGGGGTTGAGTAAATACCAAATTACTGTAGACTAGAGCTGGGGCTTTTTAATCTCAGAATTCATGGGAGAATTGAGCTCCAATTTTGCATTTATTTATATAGATTCCATAATATAGGTTTACTTAATTAGCTATTATGTTTTTCTAACTCTTCAAATGTTGAATGTGTAACTAATTCTAATTTCAATTTTTCCATCTTTACACTATATTGTATCTTATAATTTGTCCCTGTTCTGTCACCCATGAAATAAAAATAATTGTTTGTACTGAAAATCGGGATCTACGTAAATCAAATCATCTTTAAATTAAGTAGCAGCAGAAGAATTATTGGACTTTTAACAGGTAAGCTTAAACATTAATTCAATAGTTAAATGCAGTGATCAATTTTGAGTTCTGTAGTTCTATGCCTATCCCATTTACTCCTCCCTAACTAGTGTGATGATGGCCAAACCAAGAGTCCTCCACAGGAGCTAGCTTAAAATTTGAATACAAAGGGAAAATTTGTTACTCTTTTGAACTATGAAAGCAATGATAATGGCTAGTATAATATATTAATATATATTTTTAACCTTGCATAATCTGGCAACCCTAAATCTGAGCTCAGCAAAAATTCTCTGCACCTAACTTTTCTAGGGCTTTTGAATGAGCTATGAATTATTTGAAATCTGACCAATGTGAGTGGAGGAGTTGCTTGGAGACACACATACTGTACTTTATATAGATTACTGAACATTTAACTTCATCTCTGTTCTATGAAGCACAGCAAGAAGTTGCAAGGTATTAACTGTTGAAATGAAACTTAGATGAACAGTGAAATTTGCCCTTCTGTGTCATGTTTTAACTATTTTGTTTTTGAGAATGCAATTTTTCTTAATGTTTAGGATTGCATTAGTATTATATTTGTTTTACTTCAAGACTATATGACGTTACATTTTATTTTTTTCACGAGTCTGAAGCTGGCGTTTTCAGTTATACACTGAAATAGGCTTCTGGCACATAAGTTGTAAAACTGGCGAGTCTTAAATGATCATAACTTGGTTGCTAATTGACCTACCAAGATAAATATAGTGCCCCTTTTTTGTCAAGCTCATTGTCTGCATTAAAGGTTTTTAGATAGATATATTGGAAATAAAGTTATTTTTCAGATGCCTAGTGTTAGAAAGCAAAAGTCTGCAGCTTAATGAAAGAAAAATTATGAATTATGCATATTATATTTGTGTTTTTAATAACATTTCTTAACCAGTTGAAAGAAAAATAAGCCATTTGTTGAGAAATGAATCCAAATTTTTATTAAAAACTTGATAAATGTTAGTGCAATTCTATTTTTGGTATTTTTAAGAACAAGACTGCATTGCTTATTTACTTGAGGATACTGGTGTTGATATTAAAGCCAGAGATTTAATATTTTGTATGGCAAATTAGAGTATTTTGAAATTTTTTTATAGTAAGTATTTAAAATGCTTGCAGTTGGCAAAAGTTTGAATTGTTACACAAAAAATTGAATATTTTTAGATTTTAAAATTCTTGGGATTTTTTTTTTTTTTCTTTTAGGTTCGTTTTCTGAGTGATCTTGTGAATTGTCATGTGATTGTAGCTGGCTCTTTGTTGTCAATGTTTGATAACTTTGTAGAAGTGACATTAGAAGAAAATATACCACAGGTAATTATGTTAACAATTTTTATGTATTATAATAGTTTTGTCATTTATATTTTTGTTGCATTGAGATTACACCATTAAAATAAATAATTATAGCATGTGCGTATATGGTAATCTTAAATTTTATCATTTGTACTCTTTATGAAAAGTATAAAAAATGCATTGTTTTAATTCTTTAATACTTTATCAAATGCTATAGGAATAATGTTTTTCAGGTGCGATCAGATTTCTATGTGCATGTTGTTTTGGCAGCTCTTCCTTGGGTAAGTGATAAAAGTATTTTTTTTTTTCTTTTTTTTTTTTTTTTCAAATTATATAACTTAGATTCTATCTTTGAATAAAGTACGTATTGTACAGTTGCTAATTATCTGTAACAAGACTGGTATACTTTAACTGTTTAATGTTATGAATTTGCTTAATTGGTCTTAAATTATGATTTCCTAGCTAAATTCAATAAATTAAAAAAAAAAACTCAATGTAACAACAATTTATTAACTGAGCATGCACTTTTTGTTGAAACTAATTTTTCTGGTAAAATCAATCTAGTTTCATTGGCTTGGCTGCCTTTTTTTTTTTTTTTTTTTTTTTTTTTTTTTTTAAAGGTTGGAAGAGAACTATATGAAAAGAAAGAAACAGAGCTTGATAAACTACTAGCTACAATAGAAAGCTACCTCAGGTTAGAATCTTTTTTTTTTTTTTTTTTTTTAATACTTGTACCACACTCTCTCGCACACACACATATATATATATATACATATATATACACACACACACACACACACACACACACACACACACACACACACACACACACAGATATGCTCATTTTAAATTTTACAAATGTTCATTAATTTATTATTACTGCACAATGAAACTCCTACCTACATGCACAACACACAAAGAATCAAATGAAGAAAAGTAATGATGGTGTGTGGCAAAGTACATTTTACACAGGGACCCAAGGATGATAGTCTGTTTCCAGAATTAATAGATATAGAATATCACCATGAGGGGAAACTGATCAAACAAGTGGTACCCAGAATGCATGCTGTCTTTAATTGTTACTACTCTACTGTGACCGTGAAAATTAGAAATACCCTTCAAGGACAGGCAGCAAGCAGCTGATTATTTTCTGAGCAAATCTCTGGAGAGCCCACCTGCTTACTGTGAGCAGCTGGCGTACCAGACAGTGATGCCATATGCTAACACACTCAATAGATCAGCAGTTCCTGTTTGTAAATTATTTTCCTGAAAATTCTCAAAATAGTTTCTGTATGTTCTTGACTCGTGTGATGATATTGCTAGCCCAAAAGAGATCCTTTGAAATATGCATGCTGAGAAACTTAATTTTATCTATCCTTTTTACACAGATCTCACTGATAACCAAAGGGAAAGTCTGCCACCAGCTCCTTTCTCTTGAAGGTGTTTATAACAAGTTATTCTCCAAGCTCCATGTGGCCAATCTTGATTTCACTCCTGTAGCCTGCCTAAATACATCCAACCACAGTAATATTGTCCAAAGTTAATGATTGTGTAGGTGGGATGGATGGGGACAGAATCATAAGTGTAGAGAGTGTACAGAAGGGAGCATGCTGCACTCTTCTGTTGGAGAGGTTGACAGTGGATGATTTTTCAGTCCTGAACCCTAATGGCAGATGGGCTGAGGTAGTTCTAGTTGTGTGAAATTTATGATCTGACTGCTTAGGGTGATCATGTTAAAGGCAGAGCTGAAGTAAACAAAAATCAGCTTTTGGTAGTGTGAGCAAGGACCTCAAGGGGAAATTCACAGCCAATGGAAATTTGCTTAGGGCTAATATTAATGAATGCTAATAGTATATTTATGATGAAATATCTTAAGGCTACTCCTCTTTTCTGAAAGATGTATGATCTGATTTTAATTACCAAATTATAAGCTTAAGAATTATTAATCTGTTTTTAGGAAAAACCAAAGATTCATAAAAGTTTCAAAAAAACAAGAATATCTATTGGATTTATGCTTCAAAATATCATCTTTTAGAACAATTATCCTGAATGCAGAAATGAATTTAATAACTTAGCAATTTTGTGAAGTTGTTTTATTGAATAAATCAACAAAATAAGTGACAAAGTATACCAACTTTATGGCTATTCATATTTGGGATATTGATCAGCATTTTATTTTTTCCTTTTTATATTTTAGAAAAATTTGTCAACAATATTTTAACTATGCTATATCAGTCATATCTAATTACTTTAAAGTTGGTCAGATTATATACACATACATTTATATTATATAAGAAATATAATCTTAAGGTCTGCTATATTTGAGATAAAGTTCTCAATATCAGAAATAGTGTGTGTAAATATAAAAGTGAACATTGAAGTCGACACTTAGAGGCGACAGGCTGTTTCATGCTAGATACAATCGTCAGGCCATGAGTGTGTGTGTGTGTATATATATATTGTTGTGATGAAATAACCTGACTTCCCCATTCACCATAAATGGACGTTCCAGTGGCCGATAAAGTTCAACCACAGGAAACAGTCGAGAGAGCAACAACAAAGGTCTTCGTTGACTACACCATTCGGTTAGCTTACTCCTACTCTGTCTCTGTATTTTGACATTCCTTCATTCCGATATAAAGTATTATTATTTAAACCACCACTGGTTTACTTTGTTATTATATCTTTTGGAGATATATCTTGACTGGCTGCTAGATATAACAGTTATAAAACGAGGATTGAAACTTACACGGAAAAACTTTTAAACGCTTAACTATAACAGTTGCTTAACGAGGATTGAAACTTACACGGAAAAAACTTTTAGTATGTCTAACTATAACAGTTGATGGAGAAGGATTGTGCAGGAAATTTGAGAAAAAAAAAAAAAAATACGCTGAACGGATTTTCTAAAGCGGAGTCACAAGTCAAAAGGAAACTTTTTGAAAAGTAAAATTTTTACTGTTAAATTGTGATTTGAAAATATATATTGAACCCTGACTCAAATACGAGCCGGTCTAACAATAATTATTCAAGTAAAAATTACGGGTTGTAAAAAATATTACGGCTGTAAGTTGTTTGTTGAGAGTTTAACTGTCTAAAAAAAAATTTTTTTTTTTGTTTTGCTAATTCTAAAATAAGGATGGAGCAATTAGTGAAATGACTAAAATGCTGTGTACAAGCTTACAACAGCAACAAAAAACAGTACCAAGACTTACAACAACAAATATTGCAACAGCAAAAAAGTCTCAAAAGTTTTGGAGCAGGCGACTGGAGAAAGAAAAATACTGTTTTTTCTGTCAAGGAATAACAAATTCATTATCCGAATTTATTTATGATCCTGATTCGGCATTACATTTCAAGCGATATTTTAAACGTTTAGAAACTATATTTACCAAGAGATGTCAACATTGGTCGGATGGCATAACATTACTAGTACAGAAACTAGGGACAAACGAGAATAGGAAGTACTCAAACTTGATACTGCCCAGAAAGCCAGAAGAAGTTTTGTTTGAAGAAGCTATAAGTATTCTGTCAAAAATATTTGATTTGAAAGAATAGTCTGTTCCACACGCCGATACAGATGCCTAAACATCGTTAAAGCAGATAACGAGGATTTTGTGACATACGGAACAGTGAACTCTCTGGTTGAACAATTCAAGTTAGAAGAAATAAACAAAAGATGTATTCAAGTGCCTAATTTTTCTTCAAGGACTAACTGATCCTAAATATAAAGAAATTAGGTCGAGAATATTAATAATGGTCGAAAGCAAGACTAGAAAATAACATTACAAAGGGTGACCGAAGAATGCCAACGTCTCAAACGTAAAAAGAGATAATATACAAATTGAGGAGAAAAGTGTTGCTAATGTTCGACACCGCAAAAACTAAAAGAAAAACTCCAAACGCCAAAAAGGTAGAAAATGTGAGACGTGTGAAAAAAAATAACCATACCAAAAGACACGTGTTGGTACAAAAATAAGTTCTGCCAATCGTGTGGAAAAAAAAAAAGTCATACCAAAGACATGTGTTGGTACAAAAATAAATTCTGTAAATCGTGCGGAAATAAAGGGCATAAATATCGGTTTGTCGAAGAAAAGAAAATTACAAGATGTAAGTCTGGTATTATCAGAAAAAGTAATTCAGAAAGGAAAAAATAGAAAATACGTAGATGTGCGTATAAATAATCATTCAATTACTTTCCTACTGGATTCTGGTTCAGACATAAGCATCATTGATGAACAAACTTGGAAAAAAAAAATTGGAAGACCTAAATTATCTGAAACCAAAAACCGCTAGAGGGGTTTCAGGAAAGAAATTAAACTTTAAGGGGGAGAATTAAAAGTGCAATATTTCGTTATGTGGCAAGACTGCAAAAACGAAAGTGTATGTAATCCAGGGATTAATTCATGTCTTTTGGAATAGACTGGATAGTACTTTTTGATTTATTTGAACTCCCGATTAACTCATTTTGCAATGTAATAAACAGTGCCGAAAAAACAAAAAAAATATTAAAGATGAAAAATTCATAAATGAATTAAAAGAAGAATATCCCAGAGTTTTTTTTCTGAGGGATTGGGTTTATGTACCAAAACGGAAGTCAAATTTGAACTCGAGGAAAATGTGAAACCAATTTTCAAACCTAAGAGAAACGTCCCGTTTTCCTCCTTAGACACAATTAATAAGGAATTGGAAAAGACTTGAAAAAAATGGGAGTGATATCTAAGGTTGACCATTCAGACTGGGCCTCACCCACAGTTTATGTTAAGAAGAAAAAATGGAAAAAATAAGAGTGTGCAGATTTTTCAACTGGATTAAATGATTGCCTTAAGAATCACAGTTATCCACTACCTTCACCAGAAGATATTTTTTCAAAATTAAATGGTGGGAAGATTTTTTCAAAAAATCGACCTGTCTGATGCATACTTGCAGATTAAAGTGAGTGACTTAATGCTCGAAATATTTGTGTATAAATACACATAAAGGTATTTATAAGCTAAATAGGCTGCCTTTCGGCTTAAAAGTTGCCCCAGCTTTGTTTCAACAGGTGATGGACACTATGCTGGCAGGCCTGGAGTTTGGTACCGCCTATTTAGATGACATTCTAGTCAAAAGTAAGAATGTTCCAGAACATAAAACGCACATCAGAGCGATATTCAAAAGACTAGAAGATTTTGGTTTTAAATTAAGCCACGAGAAGTGTAAATTCTTCATGGAAAGAATTACATTACCTCGGACAGGTAATAGACAGTGAAGGCAGGAAACCGGACCCAGAGGGGCGATGCAATTAAAAAACATGCCTGCACCCGACACAGTTAAGTAAACTACAATCGTTTCTGGGGTTGGCACAATATTATGCAATTTACATACCTAAAATGTATGATTTAAGAGCCCCCCTCAACTAATTGTTAAAAAAAAGACAAAAATGGTTTTGGTCAAAAAGAGTGCGAGACGGCTTTTCAGAAAATAAAAAATGCCTACTCTCAGATCCAGCTTTAGCACATTATGATCCTGAGAAAGAGATCATTCTAGCAACTGACCAAAAGTTTATACGGAGTGGGTGCTGCACTGCTACACAAATATGAAGATGGTACTACCAAACCTATCGCGCACGCGTCAAGGACTCTTCTTCCGGCTGAAAAAAATTATAGCCAGATCGAGAAGGAGGCTTTGTCGATTGTGTTCGGAGTTAAAAAATACCACCGCTAAGAACATGGTAGATCATTTGTACTGCAAACGGATCATAAACCGTTACTTTCAATATTTGGAAGTAAAAAAGGCATTCCTACGCATACAGCTAATCGATTCTGGCGATGGGTGTAATACTTAATACCATTTTAGGATGGAATACGTCAAATCTAAAGAACACGGGCATGCAGATGGATTGTCAAGGCTGATTCCAAAAATGAAGAATTGTTAGAAGAGATGGTTATAGCAGCATTAACTGAGGAAAAAGAAATCTCTCAGGTCTCTTATTGAATACAATCAGGGAATTGCCGGTAACATTAGACAAAATAAAAAAAGAAGCGAAAAGATCACTATATTGTGAAATTAAAGAACCAGACGAAATGGAACAAAAAAGACAGAAAAAAGGAACTCAGATTTCACCTTTTTCAATTTAGACAACACGTTGATGTACGCAGATAGAATTGTCATACCTCAATCTCTACGGACAGATATACTGAAAGAATTTCATACCGGTCATCCTGGAATGACCCGGATGAAATCACTCATGCGTGGAATTACGTATACTGGCGGGAATGGACAAGGATATCGAAGATTTAGATAGCAAGACTATGTAGAGGTTGTCAATTGGCTGCAAGGGCACCTCCGGTCAAAATGAATCCTTGGCCTCAAAACGGATTTGCTGTGGGCACGACTCTACATATAGACTATGCTGG